TGCCCCCACCCTTGCCCCTATCCCTACTCCCTATCCCTGCCCCCACCCTGCCCCTATACCTGCCCCCACCCTTGCCCCCACCCCTGCCCTCATCCCTGCCCCCCACCCCTGGCCCCACCCTTGCCCCTATCCTTACCCCCCATCCCTACCCTTTATCCCTGCCCCCGTCCCTGCTCCAGTTTCCTCTCTGACCTCCTGGCATCCAGTCTCAGCCCCCTCCCTTCCAAATCCTCTCCAAGGAACTTTCTAGAATACATATCTGTCCCTGTCATTCCCCTGCTCAGACGCCTTCTGTGGCTCCCAAACATGCCCCAGTTCCTCACTGAGGCTGCAGGACCCATCCCTTCTCCTCGGCTCTGGCCCAGGGCCTGGAGCCCACAAGAGCCCTAACAGATAGGTGCTAACTGCCGACATGAGCTGAACCTGGCCAGGATCTGCAGCAGCTTGGACCTGGTTCAAGCCCTGCTGGAGCTCAGCCCCCAGCCTCAGTGGTGGCCAGAAGGGCTGGAGGTGACTCCCCTCCATGTGCCAGGCCTGGTGAGCACCTAATAAACCAGCCCGCGCCTGCCCCGTGTTGTCCTGGGAGGAGAAAAGATTTGACTATAGCAGCGGTTCTCAACCTGTGGGTCGCGACCCCTTTGGCGGTCGAATGACCCTTTCACAGGTCGCCTAAGACCATCCTGCATATCAGATTTTACATTATGATTCATAACAGTAGCAACATTACAGTGATGAAGTAGCAATGAAAATAATTTTATGGTTGGGTCACAACATGAGGAACTGTATTTAAAGGGCCAGAAGGTTGAGAACCACTGGACTCTAGGAAGAAGGGAAATGGCATTTGGAGCACCGTCTGTGCTAGGTGGCTCGACACATTCCCATTCATTCATTCATTCATTCATGCCCCTCTCATGATCCATCCTTCAAACATTCCCCCAACACTTCCTTGGTGACCAAGACAACCAGGGCCCTGCCCTTCAAGGGCTCACAGTCCAGAGAGAGAGACACACCTGTCCCCAGTGACAACTCAAAGTGGGTGAGACGACTGGGAGGGAGGTGGGGCGGGAGAGAGCCAGGGGGCATCTAATTCAGTCTGGGTATCAGGGAGGACTTCCTGGAGGAGGAGACAGCTGAGCTGAGAGCTGGAGGAAGAGGAGCAGGAAAATCAGATCAAGGCTCTACCCTTGCTGCCCAACATTTCTCTTCATCAGAACCTCGTATCCATTCTTTCACTCCTTAAAGCCTTCCCTGCATTCTCCCTTCCTCTTCATCTGGGGGCTCTACTTATGTCCATCCCTGACCCTCCCGGGCCTCGCCCTCAGACCCTTCCCGGTCCAAGCTAGCTCCAAGTCTTTCCTTCCGCATTTTCTACGCCTGCCCAGGCTTTCCCCGCCCGGCCCATTCTAATACCCGGGCCCCGCCCCTGCCCGAGTCCCGCCCCAGGTGAGCACCGCCCAGGCCCGAGCTCCGCCCCCGGCCCGAGCGTGGCCGCTGCAGCCCCGCCGACCCGGCGCCCTCCGTCCCCACAGCGCTGATGCAGCAGGAGGCGAGGCAGCTGGAGGCCGAATTGCTGCAGCGTGTGCAGTGGCGGCCGCGGTCTGTGCGCGGCTGGGGCTTACTGCAGCTGCTGTGGTACCTGGTGTTCCTGCAGCCGATCATCTCCGAGGTGCACCTGCGGCGCAAGAACGTGAAGTTCCTCTTCATCCGCTTCAGCGCCTGGCAGTACGAGGGCTCGGACAAGCTGTGGGCCGGCCTGGTGACCACGCTGTGTGAGGGCATCCGCCACCACTACGGCGCGCTGCCCTTCAGCGTGTACTCGGTGATGGGCAACAAGCCGGCCACGGCGCCGGGCTTCTGCCAGCGCGAATGGCACTGCCGGGGCCGCGTGTGCCTGGCGCTGGTGGCCCTGGTGGTGGCGCTGGGCCTCGGCGTGTCCCTGCTCTACCTGTCCCTGGGCAGCCACGCGCAGAGCCACAGTAGCACGCACAGCAGCGTGATGTGGGTGTTCGGCGGCGCGGCCACCACGCTTTCGGGCTCGGGCCTGCTCATGGCCGTGTTCTCGGTGATCAAGCACCTGTTCGTGAGCCAGCGCAAAAAGATCGAGCGGCTCGTGTCGAAGGAGAAATTCGGCAGCCAGCTGGGCTTCATGTGCGAGGTGAAGAAGGAGGTGGAGCTGCTCACCGACTTCCTGTGCTTCCTGGAGATCTACCAGCGGCGCCGGCTGCGCGTCGTGCTCGAGATCACCGGGTTGGACACGTGCTACTCGGACCACGTGGTGGGCGTGCTCAACGCCATCAACACGCTGTTGTCTGACTGCCACGCGCCCTTCATCTTCATCCTGGTGGTGGACCCCAGCATCCTGGCCGCGTGCCTCGAAAGCTCCGGCTCCATGAAGGGCACGGCCGACAACGGCTACGTCTTCCTCAATCGCACTGTCACGCTGCCCTTCTCCGTGCCCATCATGGGCCACCGCACGAAGCTGCAGTTCCTGCACGACGCCGTGCAGAGCCGCGACGACCTGTTGTACCGCGAGATGACGCGCCAGCTGCGGCCACTGAGCCCGGGCGGTGACGAGGGCGCGCAGCTGCTGACCCGGGACGCGCAGGCGGGGGCCGAGCGCGCGCAGAGCCTCATCGACGCAGAGGCGACGCGCCGCATCCAGCAGGCGCTCTTCTGCCTGCACGACGAGCGCGACTGCCTCTACGAGTACGTGCCCGACAACTTGGTGTGCATGCGGCGCATCGTCAACACCGTGCCCATCACCTTGCGCCTGCTGCAACAGCAGCAGCGGGACTTCGGGGGCCCCACGCCGCGCCAGGCCGTGGCCTGGGTCGTGCTCGCCAACCAGTGGCCCTGCCGCCTCAGCTGGGCGCTGCAGTGCCTGGAGGACCAGCAGCAGGCCGGGGGCGCGCACGAGGCCCGCGCGCGTCTCTGGGACGTGTTCCGCGACAACAGCAGCGAGCTGCACTCCCTGACCAAGGAGCTGCATAACGTGCTGGACCTGGACGGCGACCCCGAGCTCTTCCAGCGCTTCCTGAGCGCCGACTTCCCCTTCACCGTGGCCGAGGCACAGAACCTGCTGCGCTGCACAGTCAACCTGGACCATTCCATCCGCCGCCGCATGGGCCTTCTCCTGGCGGTCAAAGCGCTCAAGCCGCCCAGCCCGCCCAAGTCCCCAGCCGGCGACGCCCCCCACGCTGCTAATGGAGCCAACCACACCCCTTCGGCGGCCTCCACCGCCCACGGAGCCAGCCATGGAGCCAGCCATGGAGCCAGCCACGACCCCCGGGCTGCCCGCGCTGTCACCAGAGCCAACCCGGCCCGCGAGGTCTCCCACCCCCGAGACATGAAGCAAAGGCATAAGCCCAGACCCGGGTCTTGAGTGTCCTGCGCTTCAGGGAATCCAGCTTTCATTCAGGGGCGGTGCCTTGAATGAAGGACTCTGGGGCAGCAAGGGCAACAGTGCCCCCTCTGCCCAGATGAGGACACGTGCAGGGACCCAAAGCCCAGTGTTGGGAATGAGGCCTGTGGTGGCCACATTCCCCACGTAAATCTCTGAGAGTAGCTAACAATAGTGCCAGTATCCCAAAGCTGCAGGAGGACCACTGAAGACTCATAGAGTTCAAGTGCAATAAATTAAGGCGTGAGAGCCCTTGATTGGTCTTGAGGCCCTGGTCTCCCTCCCTCAGCAAGAACTAGGGACCAGGCCTGCCCGGTTCTGCCAAGCCCATTCCCCCCAGGGAGCAGCAGCGTCAGCCGGCATGGTTGGCATCCCGAGGGCAGGAGGGGCTGCGGGGGTGGTGGGCGAGGCCCAAGCAGGGAAGATGAAGGACAGATGTGCCACGTTGACTCAGGCGATAGAGAACACCCAGGCCTCGGGGGATCCAGGTCCTAGTCCCCATACCCAAGCCTGCGCCTCTGCAGGCAGGGCAGGAGCTGGCATTTCCGAGGGCAGTGTGGCTCCGCCCCCAGCATGAGTTGATGAGGTAGCGCTGGCAGCTCAGCCAGCTGGGTGGGCAGCACTGCCTTCCCGGACAAGTAACTGTCCAGAGGCTGCCTTAGGGTCATTTCAGGGCCCCTTGAGCCCCTTGAGGAGGTCAGGGAAGATGAGCAAAGCTGGGGGCATGTGTAGGACACAGAGTCGGAGCCAGAGCCGGGTCGAGGGGGGTTATCCTCGGGCTGGACTCTGCCTGCCTGGCACACCTTCCCCTCCTGCCAGTGGGAGAGACCCAGGATGAGGCGTCACTCCCCAGGGCAGATTCCTATTCCTCATTGGTCACATAGCCACACGCTCAGGCCTGTGGTGTGCCCCGCCCGGTTCAGGGTGGGGAGGGAGTACCAACAGGGTGTGACTCTGAGCCAGGGCCCTGAGCAGACAGTGCCAGAAGGAGCCTAGAGCTCTCAGAGCACCCACCCGCATGCCATGCAGCCGCGTGCGGGTACTGACATCATTCCTTATCTCCAAGGCTGGGTACAGCACCCCAGTGCCCCTGGCCAATGATGGTGCTAAAGTGGACGTAGGGCAGAGCCAGCCGGTGACTTCACAGGCGATGCCAGGACTGAGGTGCCTGGAGAACCTGGACCTGCTGGGAGAGGTTTTCCAGCAGCAGGAGAGAGCCAGCCTGAGAAGGAAGCCCCTTGGAGAGAAACACGGGTCCCAGTGACACCATTAGATCAGTGTCGCTGTGACTTGATATTGAGCAGAGCCACTATATGTCCCTTCCCTTTCTTAAAAAATTTTTTTAAATTGATTTTAGAGAGACGGAGAGGGAGAAGAGAGAAACATCAATCGGGTACCTTCTGCACGAGCCAGCAACCCGGGCATGGGCCTTGACCAGGAATTGAATTGGTGACCTCTCAGTGCATGGGACGAAGCCCAACCGAGCCACACCGGCCAGGGCATACGTCCCTTCCATCTCCCTTAAGCCAATATGATTGGGCTTCTATGTCTTACCACCTAGGGTCCCGGCAGAAAACAGATTGGGATCAGGAGTGGGGCGCTGCAGGAGGCAGGACTAGCCTTGGCTGGCGGTTGGGAGTGGGACTGAGGACCTCCGGCCCCAGGAAGAAGCTGCGGACCTGTTGTGTGGTTCCGAGCCGTGGTCAAACTGGTACCCGTTCATCTTAGACTCTGACCATGTGCCTGCCAAAGCTAGAGTTTTGGGAGACGATGAAAAAACTGAACTTGGCCGAAATGGGATGGCTGGGTGTGCCTGAGCTGGCTCGCTGTCCACCAGGATCTCGCTCCCCTTTAAGGTGTGGAGCTTCTGCTGCAACTTGCACCCAGGCGAGGCCAGGGGGCTAGTTCCCACAGACCACGGGGAGCGGAGGTCATGTGTGTCCCTTTCCTGCTGTGGCAACAAGATAGGCGGCAGGTTTGCCTTCATTCCTCCTCCCCCTACCCCACCTGCCTGCTGGATGCAGGAACCCTGAGGCCCTAGCCGGTAGCAGAGCCACAAGACAGAGGGGGCCTGGGCCCACAGCTTTGTGAAGAGCTGCCTCCATCCTGAACACCCGTGTGTGTGAAAACGAACACCTGGGTTAGGGCATTGATACCTTTGAGATTGGATAGTGTCTGGCCAAGCATAAGACTCCTTGTGTCCTCACGAGCTATGGCGATGCCTGGGTGGCTGAAGATAAAGGGAACCCGCCCCGTGATCCAGGACTCCCAAAAGGTGGAAAATCAGGAGCCCTGAAGAGTTGGCTTGCTAGTCTCCTGGGGCTTGTGTCACGAAGTCCCACAAACTGGGTGGCTCAGAATAACAGAAACTCATTCTCTCACAGTTGAGGCCCGAAGTGCGAAATCAAGGGGTCAGCAGAGCCAGCGCAGGGGAACCCTTCCTGGCCTCTTCCAGCTTCGAGCACTTCGTGGGGGATGAGGTCCCCTGGCTGTGGCCGCCAGCCCTCCAGCCCTCCATCTTCACATCCTCTGCCTGCCGTGCACATCTGTGTGCCAAGTTCCCCTTTTCGTAAGGACACCAGGCATTCTGGGTCAGGGCCTTACCCGTGGCCTCATTTTCACTTGGTTACCTCTGTGCAGACCCGTCTCCAAAGGTCCCATTCCGAGATCCTAAGGGTTAGGACTCCACGTTTTTGTGTGGAGGGAGGTTGGGACATATTTAACCCTGAATGGTTGGAAAGACCGAATCCCTCACTCTGAGCTCAATTTAGTGAAAGAGCAGGGTCAAGGCTGTGGGGCGCCCCTCAAAGGCATCACATGAGACAGGTAAGCTGAGGCCCCCTACCCCCCACTGGAGCCGGAGACAGAGGTCACCACGCTAAGGGCTGAACGCTCCCATGGGAGTTGATTCCTGAGCAACAGCTAGAACTGACCACAGGTCAACTGAGTTTGGGGGGAGAGGGGGCTGCTCTGACAGACCCAACCTGGCAAAGGACTGTGGCTCCTCAGCCTCTGAGGCTGACCTCACACTCCCAGTCTCACCAAGAAGGGGGCCGAAGCCAGGACAGCCTGGAGGGTTCGTCCCACCTCCACCGCACACCCAGCACAGGGGGCCCCAGCTGGAGGCCGATGCTGCCCACAGCTCAGAACCAGGGCCCGTGCAGGTCTATCTCCCCAGCTGCCCGTGGGGTGAATGGGGCAGGTGCTAGGGGCTGGTGGCCGATGTACATGGCACACACACAGCTGCCAATGACCGAAAAGTCAACGGACAGTGGCCACTGGGAACAGATTCCTGGGCCTGTGCAGGAGCTGAGTGGCACTAGGGCTCCCAGCCGGTGACACTGGGATTCTTGTGGTCTTCCCACCGCCTCTACCCACCCGAGTCAGCGTCCCACGCGGGAGAAAAGGGGCAGGTGCAAAGGTCTCCCCTTGAATGCTTCTCTCGTTTTCTGAAGGTGAAGTTTCGATTTCCTGGGAATGCCTTCCAGCCCCAGGCACACGCTCGCCATGTCCTGGCCGCGGGGAGCAGGCTGCCCAGGGGGCTCCAGGGCGCTGACTCATGCCCCGCCCCCCTGGAACGTCCAGATGTCCAGGGCCAGCACGGACAGGCTGGTGTCTGCTTCTCCTTGAGCCCTAGGTGACGGGGGGCACAGGAGTGACCTCTGAACCTGAGCGCCACATCACCTGACTCCTGGACCTAAAGCTGGAGAATATTTGGGGTTTTTTCCTCTGAAGAAAGATGAGCACAGAGTGGACTGGCCGTGAGAGCTTAGATACGAGTGTGGACACCCGTACAGGACGGGGCAGCCCCGGGTTTCCTGGGGGGCTGCTGCCACAGCCCAGCAGGTGCTCCGGACCAGAGCTGTCTGGCCCACCTCCCCTCCCATGTCCAGAACTCCCCCCGGGAAGAGCACGAGCAGAGAACAGGCAAAGGTGAACCAGCTCTGGTTTATTAGAAAAGGTGTGGACAGAGTTGCACCGACAGGAGGAGCCCCTCCCCAGCCCTCTGCCCACTCCACCCCACCCTCCCCAGGTCGTAGTGCCTCTCAGGGCGCAGCTTCCAGCGGCCTGGACAGCAGGGTCTCCAGAGCCCTGGCCGCCCCCCACCAGCTCCCTGATAGATTTATTGCACTTAAGAAGAAGAAAGCTCTGATCCTCTGCCCCCGTCCCCCACCCGCACCCTGTTTGGGGCTGCTCTACAAAGTCCAACCACCACCACCACTCACCGCCCCACACCATCCTCCTGCCTCGTCCCGTGCCCAGCGCCATGGGGGTTGGAGGGCATCCCACCACCACCCAGGACTCCTGTCCTCCCAGGCAAGCCTGGCCTAACAGGCCCTTCCAGAAAAGTCAGTGGATTTGGGGCTGATGACCTTGGAGACTCCCCCTCCTCTGGCCCAGAGGCTTAGGGGCTGGACACATAAACAGGAGTGCTCAAGTCAGGATGGAGAGGGCCACTCCCTGTAGCTCCTGCACCCCGTGTAGTGTTGCTGTGGGAGGTAGGGGTCCCCAGAAAGGCGCCCCCACCCCTGGCCTCCGGGCCTCAGGAAGGCTGGGGGTGAGGGTGAGCAGGTTCTCATGGCTCTGGCCTCAGCTCATAGAAGACCGGCTGGAAAAAAGGAACTTGGGGAGGAGATTGGGGGGGCCTGTCAGAGCCAGGGCCTCTCTCGCTGGCTCCCCAGGCCCCTGGCCCTCATCTCACCTAAAGTGTCACAGTGTCTCCTGCCCGGATTCCTGACTGGCTTCCAGAAGCAGCTCCTCGAGCTCCTTCTCGTTCTTGGAGCAGCTCAGTTCTGCGCGGGGGGAATGGGTGGGCGGCCTCCAGTCAGGCGGGTGGAGGGTGGCAGCCTGTCCCCACCAGCCCTGCCCAAGCCAGACCCTCAGGGCAGCACAGGCCAGGGTCCCTGAGATCAGACTCCAGGGAGAAGCCCAGGACCCGGGAAGCCAGGTGGGGCCCGAGGGCCAAGCCCTCCTCGGCCCTGTCCCTACAAGGGCCATTTCAGGGCAAACCAAGGCTCGCTAATGGGCAGGGGTCGCACACAGCACACAGGCCCTGGTCAGCCTGCCTCAGAGCCCCTCTCACCGTGTTCCAGGCCACAGCTGCCCGCCTTGGCCCCGGGCCCCGGGGGCGGCTCTGGGGGCAGTGCGAGGGCGAACTCAGGCTTCAGGCCGTTGGGCAGGGGTGGCCCTGCCTGCGGCGGCTCTGGCTGTGGCTGAGGTTCCGACGACCCTGGGTCCCGAGTGCTGACGGCCTCAG